TTTATGCAGATATTCATAAAACAGTAACTGTTAAGAATGGTACTGCAAGCTCAGGCAGATGTGTTGGGGGTGTGTTGGGCAGTGCTGCTCTGCAGGAAGGAGCTCAGGTAAACAGCAGCTCCATGCACCACTCCTGACACCTCATTAACAGCCCAGCACCAGGCATTGGTATGTGGGAGTAGAGCAAAGATGTCAGGCCAGAACACCTAAAGGATGTTTGTTTTAATAAAAGGGGCAGAGATGTGCAGGTGTTTCAAATTACTGAGAGGAAGAAATTACTCTTAACAAATTAGACTAAATGATATTTGGCATCTATACCAAAATAAAACTTGTTTATGAGTGTTACAGCACACTCATCCAAACAGACAACAGTTTTTAAGAAGAGAATCATGTTTCAGTAGATCTATAAATAAATTAATTAAAATTTGTTCTTGAAAAAATTATTTTCTTAGACTTCATAAGAGAGATAATTTGTAGTTTTCATATAATTGAAATTAACAGAAATGTATTATACATTTTAAAAAGCATTGTGGTGATTACTGCATTTTTGTATTTTATCTAATTGTTGTAATTGCATCAACAGTTGAGATCACTAATTAGCTGACTGTGGTGTCAGAGCTCACAAACCATCAAGAGCCTCCTGGTGTGGAAGCTCAGTGTGCAGGCCACAGGGCAGGACCTGGCTGTTAAATCCTTCCCTATGGATTGATCAGCTCAGTCCCTGCTCTCAGAAGGATCTTTCTGCTCAGACTGGTGACACCTCACCTGCTGATAGGGAGGCTGGGCCAGCCACAATTAACTCTAAAATGAAGGTTTCTCAATTCTCTTGTAGATCATACTAGTCTTGCAAACAGTCCTCTAAATTAAACCATTTTTAACAAGTCAGATTCACTAACTAAATTATATTTTATGGAGCTCAATTACTTTTAAACATAAAAATCTGTGTAACAGATTACCATATGGGTTGCTTGTTAACCCCTTTTTGTGAGCAAACAGTAATTGATAGTTTATTAAATGACACAGTTGTGGTTCTTGTGAATATACAGTGACTTTCTGTGACATGTGTGCAATGTCCTTCTTACTGTGTTGATTTTCTAAATGCTGCCTGTGTGCTGATGTTTAGATTTGATATGAAGGCATCTCTTAGAATATCATTACAGATGTATTTAAATCTTTTGTAGACATGATAAAAAATATATAGATAAGAGAGGAGTCTGTGAGAGAGGGCTTGTGCATCCCCTTCCCAGGGGTCAGGCATGGCTGACCTGCTTTAGCTGATGATTACAGCACTACATGATTTCCTAGGCTGCCCTCCCTAGTACAGAAAAGTAATGGAATTTACTGTCAAGGGATATCTGTCTTAAGAGAGAATTTTCTGTGGTTCTTTGAAATGAGCTTCCCAACCTTATTTCCTTAGCACTGTCTGGACCTTCCTGGAGAATGATAAACTGGTTAAACATTAGAATTCACAGCCTTTCATGGCTGAGATGCATTTAGAAAAAAGAAAAAGGCAACTCGGCTGCTAGTTGGACATAATAGAAATGTGAAAAAATTTTGGACAAAGTAAGTACCTTGTAATAGTAGTATTAGAATCCTTGGATTGACAGGTTTAGAATTTTCATTTCTTAATTAGAAGCACTCATTAAATAAGCCACAAGCCCCACTTGTAATTACTTCAAATAGCAGATTTCCAGCCTTGGTAATAACTCAAGGCAGATGGAAAAAATGCATTACAGAGCAAGAGGTATTTTTCCCTTAGCAGAGACAGATTTCCAGCTAGGGATGCTGTGAGACACACACGGTTTGTACATTTTCTTAGGAGACTGAAACCTTCCTCTGATCTGTACAAAAATCTTTTTAGAAAGTACTACCCCTGTGGATTTTAACACTGCTGGGCTGTTAAAGGGAACATTATACAATGAAAAAGCAGAAGACAATACAAAGACTCCAAATTTTTCCACTTACAGCTAGACTATTGTGCCTTATAGGATTAGTTACTAGTGAAAGTTGCAGGTCTCTGCTCTAATTGGCATTCTTGGAAATGAATGTAGAGGTATGGTCAAATAAGTGACCTTTCTGTCTGTGGATAAAAGATGGATGTTACTGGTACCATTTCTGATGGATACATTGTAGGGCCCAGGAGACTGAGGTCCAGCTTGCCTTTTTCTTTTTCTACCATCTGAAAGGTATTACATGAGGCAGCTGGTATGAGTGGGAAGGTGGATCAGGTAACCTTACCTGTTTTGGTGCTGTGATGCTGCCCTGGGGAGCTGCTGCAGCAAAATGAGCATTTCCTCACCCCAGACCACATGGAGGGGGTGATTCAGTAAGGAAGTGCCATGTCCATCTTCTTAGAAGGTTGTGTGCTTGCTGATGTTAATTGTAGGTGCACAGCTTCATGAATTACAGCCTCAGTAATGATGGATTTAGGGACAGAACTTGCAGAAAGGAGGTGTTATTTAGGTTTTCAAGGCCAGATACTGTGTCAACAAATTATCACTGCCTTGCCTACCAGTGGGCTTGCAGGAGAGTTCATACAACTGACTCAGAACTTTTATTTCTGAAAAATATAAAGTTAATGGCATCATTTTCTTGTAAATTATTCTAAAGCATCTCCTGACTAGGGTGATAAATTGGAAAATGACAGTATTTACTGGAAGGGGAGTAAGAGAAGGTTCAGCAAGTACAGGACAGAGTGTACACTGCCTGGATGAATCCAGGGCATTACAAATTCTGCAGAAAGCAGAGGCATTTCAGGACAACCTGTTTTTGCAAGTAAAATTAATGTACAGGAATGACATATTGGGCAATCACTGGGATACTTCTTGACAGAAGTTTTAAGGACCTTGGCATCAAATAAAAGATACCAGCTGAGATGTCTGCCTACCTGCTGGACTGAGTTGAAGATGAATTTTTTTATGAAACTCCCTCAAAATGGTAGTTGGTCAGTTTGACCTCCAAAATCAAAGGACTCTAGTTAGATTCTCCTTTCCATACTGACTAACTTAAGCTATGAAAGAAAGGGTTTGTGCTGTAGACTTGAAAAAAGAGCTGATCTAATCCTTCCTTCAGCTGAACAGCCTGAAGTTTTAACAAATTTCAGTCTTTGCCTTCTGGTGATGGAGAGTAATGAGGATGAAGCACCAGTTAATAATTTTTCAAACCCTTTGAAGAATTATTAGGCTGTCCAGCATTTTAAGGCACCCTAAATAATGTGATGCTGTTACTTGCTAGTTTCTCAGTTAAGAAAGTGGATACTCATTTGAGTTACTTGAGGGTATTTGAACCTTTTAAAAATTGCTTCTTTGCATTTTCCTTCAGAAGTAGACTCAAACTCCTGTTGTTATTTCAATTTGGTGTAAATCTTCTGTAATTTTTAGGGCTGTTCTTTGGAAATAATCTCCATCTTACAGCATGTGCTTAGGAAAGAGTTGTGACTGTAACACAGACAGTAAATTTAGACTCTCATTTCCATGACTGTTTATTCACCTGATGTGTCAGAGCATCAGTACCTTCATTAGACACATGAACTTCAGCAATTCAAAAGACTCAAATGATTAATGACAAAGAGTGAGTTTAAGCTTCCATTCAAACCCCTTGCCTCTGCACATTTTGGCTGGGCTCAGTTGATGCATCCCTACTGGTGCATCACAATTAGGATATCAGGTTAACCTTATTTAGACTTCTTTCAATGAAGAATTAAGCAGTGTGTGCAATCATGTTAATATTTTTTCTTTTTTTAATGCAATTCCCCTTTTCCTGGGCTAAAGGAGTTTTGTTTTGTGTCTTCCTGGCAGCAGTAAATTTGCAAAGCTTCCACTGACAGAACAATGGCATTTTACCTGGTACTCCCCACATGAGGCATTCCCAGGAAATAATTATATGGGAATAGAGACCTTTGTGGACTGGAGCCATAAAGGGTAGTGAGAAATTGGGCTAGCCAGTACCTGTCATGCTGATTCACTCTTCTCATTGTTTTCTTATACTTTCTCATCTGCTTGTACTTTTTTCACTCTTAAAAGTGCATTCTTTGGGGAGGGACTGTCAGTCTGTTCTGCACAGGACCAGTTCTAACTTACTTTTCAGGTAGACAGCAATATTTCTTTGTCATTGTTTATTAGAGCTTGGAGAGTTATGAATAACTTGGCAAGTTCAGAAATGAGATTTCATTGATTTCTCCCACTTTAAAAGGAAATCATACACACATGCACATGGCAAATTTGCTTTTTTATTTTTTTTGCCAGTATTAAAGTCAGGCTGGAATAGGTTGTCCTTTCAGTGCTCTGGACTGTGCTTAGGTAGTGTCCATTACAGTGTGGCTCTTGTCCAAGCTTGGTCTCACTGGTATTTCAAGCCTGAAGGATGGAAGGCTACCCCAACTTCCCTGAAGAGAACATGTCAACAGCCTGGTAAAGTCAGAGGACTGCAAAGGAGCCAAAACAACTGGTAGGCCATGAAAAGAAAATTAATTTCATTTTACTTCTATTCATGAGGCACCTGGAAAACAGAAATACCCCTCAAACTTAGGAGACTTGTAGATACTTTCTTTTACTAAAGTTGGGGTTCTATCCATACAAAAGAGTTCAGAACTGACACTAAAATTAAAATAATTGTTGAGAAAGCCAGTGTGCTGGTTATGCTGAAAAGCTGACCATGTGAAAACACACAGTGAGGACACCAAAGCATCCTAAGCTTGTTCCCATAGTGCTACCCTGAAGGCAGAGTTTTCAGCCAGTCCATACATGGGAACCTGAGGAACCCAACACTGGAATGTTTTACTCAGAGTTGTGTAATAGCATTCCAAACTTTGCATTTCACATCCACACCCTCTCCAGAGAGAAAAGAGCTGATATAGAGAGTCTAGACCACTCCTCTGCAGTTTGCAAAGGAATAATGGCACTTCTGCTGTCACTTCTACTGTCCAGAAACAAAACTTCCCCATAAAGGGTGGTGTGAAACTGGAGCTCTCCTCCAGGGACAGCAGGCAGAGCAGGAGCAGGCAGAGCAGGTGCATGGTGCAGTGACTGTACTCCCACTGCCATTCAGAAGCTCTGGAGGAACTGTGTCTGCTTGATTGTCCCAGACCTCCTTAATTTTGGCTGACCTTACACAAGGCACAATCCTGAGTCACAACTGAGACCCCTCAAACCCCCAGAGAGCCCTGTTGCAGACAAACAGAGTTTGAAATCCTAGTGCAGTTTGTCCTGATGTCAAAGCAATCTTTGTATCACAGCTCACTCCTTAAAAAGTGTTACTTTTATTGACAAGTCAGTGGTTGAAATGTAATAAATACTAAACCAACCTTATCCATCATACACAATGGATCAGTTGGCTTTCTGGCTTCAGGAAATGTGTGAGCAAGTGACCACACCATTCACAGTTGTGCACACAAATCACCTGGATTGCAGTTCACAGTTTAAAGGATGTGATTACACATCACAGCTTAAATGAAACTGGTGGCTTATGAAACTTCATCATGGGATTTCAGATATATTGGCTTAGAAATCTTCCTTAACTTTTCCTGGTGTCGCAATGTACGGCCTTGTTTGCGGGCAAGGCCCATGGGAGGCAGATGGATCTGGAAAAGAAAATTCCACCAGTTAGGTGCATGTTGGGAAGAAAAATACAGACTGAGTTTCACTGAGTTTGAAATAATTTCTTCTCACTTTGGAGAGGGTAACTCTATTGTCTCAAGCCAGGTTATTAGATTTCTAGGAGGAGCACTCTGAGGAGTGATTAGTGGTGTAACTTTCAGAACTAATTGGTGGTGTAACTATGACAGAACTAATTGTTCTGTTTATTAAAATCCTATATATTTTAGGCCTTAATAAAATCCTATATATGCAAGGCCTAAGTAACTTTGTTTTGCAGCTTGGTATCAGACTGCAATGATACTTGATGAAACAGGATTGCTGACAATGTTCCAGAACAGTAAGAACTAGAAACCCTAAAAATTCTTGAGTAATGTCTTGAATCACTGTGTGATTTATTCATACCTACTTAACAAGTTACAAAATAACCCCAAACTGTATGTACTGAAAGGCTGCCTTTTTACTGTCATGATTATATATATATGGCACATTAAAATGCACACTCAATGTCATTGACTCCATAAGCAGAAGGAGCAATAGGTGACAGACTCTTCCTTTGATTGACAAAGCCTTTATATTTCATAAGACTGTTAGTGGGAATCATGCAGCTGTAGCCCTGAAATGACTGAAAAATGTAGGTGGCAGCAGTCAGGTGTTACTGTTGCTGAGGCTGTCATCCTGTGAGATGGGTGTTTAGGTGCAAATAGTAGTAAAAGCACTGACTAAAGCACCAGTAGAGATTTCTAGAATCTGGAAAATAACAATCATCCAGTTTGTCTGAGAGAGCAGATCCTCTGGGATTTTGAAACCACTGCAGAGCACACATTTTAGGCCCATTTCTATGAACATTGTTTGCCAGCTGTGCATTGCCATTCTGTATACTGAAACAGATGGTAACAGTGACCATAGTCTAGGCAAGCATCTGATAAAGACACAATTTAATTTGGACCATGACTGCCTTGATAAGGGAACTGTAGATGTGAAAATAAACTCATCAACAGGAGTAGAGAGGATGCCTCTCTGGGAGGCAGCATAAAGAATTACTGACAGAGGTAACTGGGCAGTGAGGAAACTGTACTGAATGGTGCCCTAGAAAACTTTGCTGCAAATTCCAGCATTTCAGTAATCTTGGACATGTTCTTCAGAGGCAGCAACACAGAGAGGTATTTCATAAAACCTGATTTGTGACCAGGAGAACAGTTAGCAGTAATGTAGGCTGTAAAAATTATTGTACCTATGGCAGATGTAATTAGGTATTTTTATTCTCTCATTCCCTTCTATTATTTGCTTCCATTACATGTTTCTCTACATTCATTGGTTGGCTAAATATTCAGAGGCCTTGGGAGTTTAGTTTATGCAACTCCTTTTAGACTTTGACTCCTTATTTTGAGAAGAAATTCTCCAATTTACAGTGAAAGATAGAGAACATCTCAATGTACATTTGGCTCTGCTTTAGCATGCATTTAAATGCCAGCTCATCTAAAAATGCAGTGCAGTGAGAGTGATGGAAACTGATGGTTTTGTTGTACAGGGAAAGCTCAGCAGGTATCAGTGAAGGCTTTGTGATTTATACTCACAGGTCTCGGGTAGGGGATGTTATAGTGAAGTCCAATTTCTATTCTTGCCTCACATTCTTCTATGCACTGCTTAATCAGCTCTGGATCTGTCACCTGGGATGATCAGACAAACAAGTGTTTTATAGGAGTACAGTAATTGGCAACTGGAAGCTCAAGTGTAAATGATGCCCAGCACGTGGCTTTCCTTAGCTTCTTTTGGCAAACTCAAGGACACAATGAATTGTATTTTCACACCCATAAAAGGCATCATTGGTATTTTCCTGGACTCAGCAGTTCTGGGCTTGATGGTGCTGAATGTCAACGCCCAGAGGCTGTCAGGACTGAGGCTACAGGAGGAGTTTTTTTACCCAAACATGGTATTTTCTCTGTAAAAAGACAATAGACATGTAAGCTACCACTACATCTATGAAAAAACCACGCTCATCTGTTCATCACTCTGCAAGGTCACCAGTGGAGAAAGGAAAGACACTGCTTGGTGTGCATTCTGTTATCATCCTATCCAGAAACTCTCTTTGAAGTGAGAAATGTGGTGTGAATTATAACTTATATTAATTTTTTTGATTTTGCATTACTTCAATTTAATCCCAGAGCAATATTGGATATAAATAAGTGTTGTGATCTTGAATTACAAGAAGGGCCTTTGATTACCAGGGTTTGAAATTTCTTCCTTAAGAAAAAAATTAAAGTGCTTCTTTTAAAAGAAGTGCCAATAATTGCTGCTTTGAAAAGAAAAAAAGAAGCTGCTGAGTTCTGTTTGCCATTGCATGGGTAATGATACACTTAGCTAACTTTGTAAAGATCAAAAGCTGCTTCAATTACACAAGCGGTATCTTTGGAATTTAATTTCTTCTTGGCACTTTTTTACTGAAAAAAGACCTTTTAGACTTCTACAGTAGTTAATGAAGAGCTGAAATGGTCTGAGTTTTCTCAGGGATGTTATTTAAACTGTAACCCAAATGCACCAGCATTTAAGGTGAATGAAATTTTGGGAACTCAGCCCTTACATTCCTCTCTTAGCATCCAACCACAGAGTGCAAACAGCAGGACAAGAATAAGTTGGAAATTCAACACCCTGAGGACACTCACGTTTCTGTTTTTTTGGAATAACGTTCTGGCCTCATTTCTGATGTACTCCTTCTCCCTCATGGTGTCCTCTGTGTGTCCTGATGCTGACTGCCAGGTTCTGGCTATTCGCAAAACCCTGCGGTAAAGGCCGAGAACTTCTTGTCGAGTTGCTGGGGTCATCTAGAAAGGCAAGACAAGACAAAGCCCCCAACATGTGCATGAACATTTGAGTTGCCAAAAGGCCTGGTTTGAAAAGGAAGTGAGTTTTTTGGGAGTTTGTGGTCAAACCAATCAGTGCTGAAATTTGGACATTTGTTCTCACCACTAAATTAGTTTAAAATATTTCCGCCGTCCAAATATATGGTGAGCTATATGAAAAAACCCTGAAATGGCTGTAAAGAATAATTAGCTGTGGAAAGTTGAAGACTCAGTCCAGCAAAGTATTTATGTAGATACTTAAATCTATCTCCATTCAAACAGCTTGAGCTTTTGCTCAAAGTTCAGCACTTGGTTTAGTGCTTTGCTGAATCAAGCCTGGTACAAGAATGCCTGGGTTCTGTTTCATTGGTGTTTTGCAACAGACATTGGGCAAGTCACCGAAACTCTACACATCCCCCTTCCTGAGACATTGTTGTACCAATGCTGACCCTATCTTTGCAAATCTGTGAATGAAATACATGTTAAAATCACCACAATATTGCTGAAAACTTGTATAGGCTCCAGGGGCTGAGAAGCTTATTTGTGATACCATGGCAGTAATGATTCAGCTGGAGTTTGAGGTGATGAAAAGGTGATGAAAGCTATTTTATCTAAGCACTCAGGAGAGGCAGACTGTGGATTTAGGAAACTCCTGAATGCCTTGATTTTCAGAGAGCTGTGAACCTGCTGAGCCCACTGAATCAGCCTCCAGGTGTGATAAGACTATTTGTCAGAAGAAAGAATGAAATCTTCTTGCTTTATGTAAATGAGTATTTTATCATGTAACTGGTTACACTATTTCATGACAGACCACAAATATCCCTGAGACAAATCCACTTCTGGATGACAGAATTTCAGTAATGAATGAAATTAACAGAAACAATGACTTGTGCTCAAGGGGCAGTGCAGCTGTGAGAGGTACCTCACTGTGCCAAAGGAAGGTGCAGCAGCACTGCCAAGTGAGTACATGGATGCCATGAGGAACAAGTGTCAGGAACAGGACATTATCTCACTATCAGGATCCATTTGCCAACCTGGAGCTCTAATTACTGTGTGTGAATCTACCCTGCAATCAGACCTGTGTGCTGGGAAAGGACAGTTTGGAGCAGAGTAACTGAGCCAGCCTGACCTTCCCCCTGGAGGGAGCACACTCTTGGCCATGAGGAAAAGCTGCTTCCTAATGCAGCACCCAAAGTCTGGCAGTGTGCTGTGGCTCAAATCCCTGCAGTCTGTGGCAATTCCTGGGATTCTGGGCTGTAAAAGAGGGGCTAAAGCCAAAGGCTTCTCAGGCTGTCCTGTTCTTGAGCTCCAGCACAGTGGCTGACCAGAACCAGCTCCTGTGGCTCCTGACCCTCTTTCCCTCACCAAAGCTGGAATTACAGATACTAACCTGAACACAGGATTTGGCTCATGGTTTTTTCATAAAAAATCCTGATCTATAAATTCCTAGCCTTATCTTAACTGTTGCTGTCATCTAAAGACCTTTCATGGTTTCAAGAACTATTTTTCTCTGATTCCTAAGAGTGAACATTTTTGTTTTGCTATTTGTATTTTAACATGTTTAACCAATCATATATTTTTCCCCAGATAGAAAATTATTCTTCCTACACAGAAGACAGTACTTCCAGTAAATGTTTATAGTATTTCTAGGAAATGAATTCCACAATAATATAACTAGGTAGTCCCAGCTCATCAAACAGTTTGGAGAAAGTGCTTCACTTTATCCACTCTAGAGCTCCATTTCAGGCAGTGAAATCAGTCAGACACGAAGGCGCAGATGTACCTGTATCTGAAAAATCACTGCTTCCCCCTGCTAGGTGCATATTTTGTACAGAAAAGAAACAGTTCAGTTACAAGCACAGGCAGAGTCCCAAATCCCGTTCTCACCTAGAGCCTCTCCTGACTTCCCTCCTCTGCTTTTATCTGAAGGTGTCACCTCTGAGAAGCTGAAAACAGGTTAGGTTTTCATGTAATCCATAGAGAAAATAAAAGGAACAATGCTGGGGGTAAAAATGTTTAAAATGCAGGTTTCAATTCTGATCTATGCATCAGACAATTTCCAAAGTGACAGCTTGGGACAGCACATGCCCTTTGTTCAGAGCTGACTACACCTGCTGCCCTTGGGTTTTAGACATTCTTGAATCTGTTCAGAAAGATGTTATTGAAAAGTCAAGAACCAACAATTATTTTCCCCACTAGTTGCTCCTCCTCCCCCACCCACAACTCACTTTTTTGTTCTTTACTCCTGTGCTGGAATTGCTACAGAACTGTGGAGCCCCTCATCATGGGCTGCCCTTCTGCATTCCTGCTCTCCTTCCCACAAAGGCTGGATGATGTAAAAGACATTAAGCAGCCACTCATCTCTACTCAGCAACCAGCTGCTCCCAGGGCTCATTTAGTCAACAATTATCATTACAGACCTGCTCATAAGCCATTTCTGCAAAGATACATAAATGAAGGTATGAGAAGCCCTTTGCAGATTGAGGACTTCTGTCTGTGATAGGAGAGGATGAGAGCAAATAAGACAAAATTCAAAGCCTGGGTCAGATTCTGATCTGAGTGGGAGTATAAATAGGGAGTAATTCCACTGAGAGCAAAATTACTTCCAACTTAAAATGTTGTAAATGAGATTGGAATTTTTCCTTTGGTATAAACAGTGCCCACACTGACAGAAATGTAAGTGATGGTACAAGTCATGTATCAGGTGCAATTTCATCAAGTGACACCACTTGTATTAGTTTTGTGGGTGTGCAAAATGATTCTGAGTGGGATAGAAAGGAAGATAAGGGAGGCTTTCATGTCCTTGTACTTACTCATCTTTCAACTTACATCTTTGGCATTTAAATCATAATTATATTTCACATCTCTGGAATGCTAAGTGGATGTTACACCACTTTCCCACTAACACCCATCTTGTGGTAGTCACACCCATTGTTTAACTTCTACCACCCTTTATTTTACTGCAGCGTGCAGCCCACAGAGGTTAACCACAGGCGTTTCTGGCAGAAAACACAGGGCTATTGTATTAGCTGAGCAAATTTCGGCTTTTTACTGCCACAAAGCAAACCGGGAGAGGTCAGAGGGAGCTGTGCCAGTGGGGAACAGAGGAGGTCGCAGTTGGGACCCAGCGCTGCAATCTGGGCTCTGGAGGGAGCCCAGCTCTGCTTCCCAGAGGAGCCCTGCTGGGTGTGGGCAGAGCCGGTCCCACACACCCACCCCCCTTATCAATCAGGCACCTGAAACCTCCCATTGTACCCAAACTCCAAAGGAGATCTGAGCACTTAATGGCTCACTGCATGGTGAACGTGCAAACTTTTATCACTGGTAATTAAAATAGTTCCTTAGACTATAAAACACGGTAGGTTTTTCTTTCAGGAAACAAACAGACATTCCTTTGGATTGTTAGATGGTTGTTCAATAATCTGAATAATCAATGAAACACCAGTCTTATTGTGCTGTTTGCAGGCTTGTCTAGAATTTAAACTATAAGTTCATATAAAAATAATAAAAGGAATCTGCCAAGCGCACTATGCAATGGCCCCAAGAGTGCAGTGTCAGAGCACAGCCAGGACAGCAGACAGACTGCACCAGGACTGACTGCAGATCCAGGAGCAGCTGAACCTCAGCTGCTGCCCAGCAGGGATGCTTGCCTGGGAACACATGTCCAGCACCATCCTCCTCTGCACAGCTCCTTTGGTGAAGCTGTAAGTCTATTTTATTTCATCCTTTCTTCTCAAATCAAGCATTAGCTACCCACTTTAAGCACAAAATCTGCCAGCAATGAGTACATAGAGGATTTTAGGAAATAAAGGTTGAAAGGAAGAGCCCATGGGGAAAAAGGGTATTTTAAAACAATTGATCTCTTCTTTCACACCCCAGCTAACTGGGGCACATGTTAGTAAAACACACCTAGTGCTGGTGCTGAAACTGGGTTTGTTCAGGGGAGGTGGAGAACAAAACCCTGCATGAAATAATTTGAAAAGGCAGCTTTGAGCTTCTCAGATGTAAAATGTTTTATTTAGCAGCAACACAACTTCTATTTGACAGCTGGTTTGCTACTGGCAAGGAGTCTGAAGACACAGTGACAAAGTGCTGGGCTGACTGCCTTCCAAATGAAGCTGTGCTCACATCCCTGTTACTGAAGTAAATGATGCCATTCAAGACCCTGGTGTATCAACACTGTAGTAGGGAACAGCCCCATGTTCATACCATGTGCCCACAATCCAGCCTGTATGCCAATCTACAGCTCCTATTTTCAAATGCCCTCTTTGGCTAATGTTTATTTAAAGATATCCAGAAAAATTCACATATCTGGGGATTTTTAAAGGAGTTAAATGATGCCACTTAGCTAAAAGTGACCTGCAGTCTCTCTCCTGCTGCTAATGCAGCAGATAATCAATCATTCCTTTCAGAGCTCTCCACAGCACAGAGGTCAGTAATCCATATTCATCTTTCATGCAAGTCTGCCACAATGAGTCTGTGGCTCCTCAGGCAGCAGTGTGTTTGGGCTGTCATTTCCTTGAGGGACAACAACAGAGACAATGAGTTCCTGTGGCACAGGGGGCAGAGAAGGGGTCACAGGTTCCTGTGATAGCTGGGTAGGTCACATGCCTTCCAGCAATATTAAGTTTCAAAATCTAGTTTCCACAGAAGTAATTTTGTCTTCTTTTACTCAAATCAATGACTCAGTGGCCTGTGACAGTGCCCTGCAAATGCTGACCACATATGGCTGCAGTATGTACTGGCAAAATGAAAATTTCATTTGATTTTCATTCTTGATTGAACATTCATAACTTTTTCTAAAGATTCAGACAAACCCAAATCCCAGCAAAACCTCAATCACAGCTAAAGTATTCCATCTCCACGTGGTGAAAAATGACTAGAATGAAAGATCACGTTCTTCCATGATGGTGTTACATCCTCATTTCTACCAGTGACACAAGCCTGCAAATTTCCAGACATTCCCATCAATTTGACTCAAAGATTTATTTCTCACTCTTTCCATCTACAAGCTGCAATCATAAATATATGCAGATTTGATGAAAAAGAATGAAGTTACTGAACCAAGATATTCTGTAATGGTATCTAAAAGCAGGGTGACTTTCACAGGGTTTAGGATTTTCTCATGCCAGTGTCTTTCTGCTGGCAAACTGAAGTGATCTGAAACCCTGATCAACACCTTTGAACCAGGCTCCCTAAGTCATTGTACTCACATTGTGCATCAGCTGGGATGGGAACTCTGCTGTTCTATCTGTGCCTCAGATTTCTGACTGAACTTGGATCTCTTTTAAGCTTGCTTTTGCATATAGAGCAGTCTTTTGATCAGAAAAAGCAAACTGCATGCAAAGAGAATATAATTAAATAGTAAAAGCAAGGACATGGATTTTATCACTGTTTCCTATGTCAGTTCAAATAAGCCAATTTGCACAAAATAAAGGTTCTACAAAAATTTTTTCACTTGAATAAATGAAGGTAGAAACCCTTAACTAGTTGCTTTTGATCACTGGGTTTTCATTCTCTTAGTCTGAGGTGGTCGAGGCATTATTTGGTTTTAGTAGGACATACAGACTTGCCCTGGGAGTGCCTCCTGTGCTGCAGGAGCCTCAGGAAGAACAGAAACGCTCCCTTAGACTGTGGGAAGGGGGAAGGGAAACGAAAAAAGTTGCTTTACTTATTTCTTAGCTTTCTCATGAAAAACACACAGTGTGCAGGTAAACTCTAAAGCAATATGAACGCGTCTCCAGTCCTGTCCAACTCTGTTGTTCATGCTTTCATATCATTTTCTTCTCCTATGTGTTTAGTTCTCTATTACTTCCAAGCAGAGAAAGATTTTAATGCAGAATGAGAAATTTAGCAGAGAAAATTAATTCTCAGCTATCCTTGGATGGCCTTGCTTATATAATATAGAAGCATACAGAAATATAACAACATAGACACAAGCTCCAGTATAGATTTATGCACCTTATTCATACTTTGGCTTCCAGCCAAATGCAACTGAATGCCCAAATAGAAATATTTCCCAGCATTGGAAACGCTCCCAAGCTCGAGAACAGGTATAAATATTAATGCTAGCAGAGACAAAATCCTCCCTGACCCTTTTCGTGCTTAATTCTGAGGGTCACTCAATGAAACTCATTGATAGACATGATCTTTAGTTGCTATTTGAGAACCACAGCACGGCTGTGGGCATGGAGGGCTGTGAATCAGGCGAGTTATTAAAGACCTCTGAGCCAACCAAGTGCAGTGTGTGACCAAACACCACCCTGCCAACCAGGGCACATCCAGGCTTTCCTTAACACTCCAGCACCAAAGTGGGCAGCCCATTCCCACCTCTAATCACCCTTTCTGTGATGGTCTTCCTCATGTACAAACTAAACCACTGGTGCAGCTTAAGACGCTGCCTTCTCCTCCTGAGGGTCAGGGAGCACTGTGGGCACACAGCGCTGTGGGCATTGAGTGCTGTGGGTCATAGAGCACTGTGGGCACTGAGCCCTGTGGGCACAGACTGCTGTGGGTCACACAGATGAAGGCCGAGGGCACCATGGCCTGTGGACATTGAGCACTGTGGGCACTGGGGGCTTGGAGTGCTGTGGGTCAAAGACTGCTCTGGGTCCCAAACTGCTGTGGGTCACTGAGTGCTGTGGGTCAATGACCCCTGTGGTTCCCTGAGCACAGTGGGCCAAAGAGCCCTGTGGGTCACAGACCACTGTAGGTCAATGATCCCTGTGGGTCACAGACCGCTGTGGGTCATTAAGCCCTGCACACACCGGGCGCCCCCACAGCCGCTGCCACTGTCAAGATGGCGCTGCCGCTCCCCACGGCCTGGAACCGCGCGGCCACCGGGGGGCGCTGCGGGTGTGCAGGGCGTCCTTGCGCCCCCTGGCGGCCGGGGCGGCCTTGCCCCCGCAGTCCGGGGGAACCAACGCGCAAAGCAGAGGGAGGGTCGGCCCACCGCACGCGCCTCCGGCCTTTCCCCTCCCTCTGCCCTCCCCGCGTGTACGGCCGCCTTCCCCCCCGTCCCCGCTTTACCTTGGTGCAGTCGTGCCGCGGCCCCGCCCCGCCGGGTGCCCCCGCTCCGGTGGGCGCGGGAGGCGCGAGCCGCCGCCTTCCCTGCCCTGCCCTCACCGCGCGTGCGGCGCCGCGCGCCCCGCCCCTCGCGCGTCACGTCACAGCACGTCACGGCACGTCACGGCGCGTCCGCCAGCTGAGCGCTCGCCCGGAAGTGATGCGGTGGAGGCAGAGCCGCTGGTCGCCGCGGAGGTGAGTGAATTGGACCGGAGCTCTTCCCGTCCGCCCGGGCTGCGGGGGAGCGCCGGGGGCGCCGCGGGGCTCGGCCCGGCTCGGCACGGCCCGGGAGCCGCCGCGGGCGGCGGGGCTCGTCCGTGCCCGCCGCGGCCGGTTGTGCTCGGGGGGCCCCGCGCCGCCGCCCCCTCACGGCAGGGCCCCCCGAGGCGCAGCCCCGCAGCGCGGGGACAGCCCGCGGGAGCGGCCGCACGGGCGCTGCGCCGGTGCCGCGGGCGGGGCGGTCCCGGCGGGCGCTGCTCCGGGCGGTGCCGCTGGGTCCGTGCCCCGGGCCGTGCCCACCCGCGCTCATCGCCGTGCCCCGAGCGGCGCTGCCGCCTCCCCCCGGGCTTGGGCTCTCCGGGGTTTTTCCGTTCTGTGTCCGCCGCCTGCGGGCTCCCAGAGCGTCCCCGCCATGGTCGGTGCGGGCGGCCCCGCAGCCCCCGGGCCGGGCAGAGCCGCTGCTTTGTTCGGGTGCGCTCCTGCCCAGCCTTCTCACGTGCCACGCCACAACGTGAATGTTCGCCGTGTTTTCAGGGGAAAACAGAGAGATAAATGTACAGCGATTTATTTCCTAGGCGGTTCTCGTCATCTGAACGTGCCCCCTTTGCACAGCCGCTTCTTTTTCCTGCTTCAGCTCTCCCTCCCTCCCCTGAGCGTGTTTACCCTTCCTGTGCAAGCTGCAATCTGCATTAATCACTCTCTGGGGCTGTGGTGGTACTAATAAGCTACTCATAACAACTTAAATTATAACTTGCATAATCAGTGTTTTGAGCAGATATTGGTTGGAAGAATATGCCTGTCCTATCAGTGCTGTGGTTGCTGGAAAGAATAATTGATTATCTTCTAAATAGTTAACACTGCTGATATGCTGCCCTTCAGAATGTTACATTGATAACTGAGCAGGCTGATGCCAAGTGTCAGAACACAGCATTGATCCAGAGCTGGTAACTTTTTTTGAATGACAGTGTCTGTCACATAATTTAAAGGGGTAATGAGTTAAGTGCTCTGAAAAGAAGGGGGGCATGGCTGTACAAACAGAAAGCACAGAGCTGCTCTACCTTTTTGAAAATCACAGACCTCACTGGCATGGTGTGTATGTTTTTGAGAGAACTTTTGAGCAAAAGACGTTATCTAAACAAATTCTTTCGTGTTTAAAAACCTCTTTGTTAAACAGTTTATGTGTAGCTACAGTACTAGTGCTTTATTTGGGCTACAGCAATAGGAGGAGAAAGTGTCTGAGTACTTGTTTCCCTTGCCTGCATCTGAGCACTGCTGCGTGTTTCCCTGGTGAAAGATAATCCTCAGAACAGGAAACACAGTCCCTTAGTTAGGATTGCATGTGAAAGTAAAGAGATCTCACCCCCCATGTCCTTGTCAGTGCTGTAGTCTGTCCTCAAAGTCTCCCCCACACAGGTGTGTCGTGGTGGTTGTGGAAAACATTCCCTTGTACATGACAGGCAGCTCACAGTCTAAAGCAAAGCTGTTCTGCACATCAGCAGAAAAAGGAGAGCTTGTGATCTGTGTTGAATTAGTTCAGATTAGCAAAGTGCAAATGGCTTTACAAACTTACTGCAAATACCAGCTCTGGTAATGATTTTTAAAACTGATTATTTCCTAATAGCAAGTTGTATGTAGGCATGAATACTGTAATTCTGTAAAAAAAAAAAAAAAGTAACACAACTAATAGCAGGGGAATTGCAGCTTTGGTACTACTTGGCTGCTTTTTTTGTGAGACTGACAGCCTCCAGTATGAGCTGCAATCAGCTCATAAAATCAGGATCTTCAAGGTGCCTTTTCTGCCCAGATTCTTGCTTTATTTTGAGGCTGAATGTTGTTGTGTTCACAGCAAATTCCCAATGATCTGTGCCAGTAGTTCTTATAATTTGTTGCTCTTGGAAATTTGTTAATAATTACATCTTGCTTCCATTTAGCATGAATTGTGTTGGAAAAAGACAATCAGATGAAGGAGTGGCTTTGAGAGAAAACTAAGAGCAGCTCTTTTGGAAGACCCTTATTGAAATTAATTGAAGAAATATATATTGAGCAAGAAGGGCTGCCAGACAGCTTGACAGACTTCTAAAATGTGTTCTGACAAATTTGTGTGTGGATAAGGAAGAGGCTTGGTTCTGCTGCTTGCTTTGGTTCAGCTTAAGGAGCAGGAAGAAATCCTCAGTGTTGGGTGTGTGTATGAGGGCAGTGGGGTGCAAAGTAGGTGGAAAGGGGATGGAGGAAGAAGGAACAGACTTGGCTTCTACACTTGCATTTCCTCACGGCAAAAAGGAATGCACAGAGTCTGGATGCAGAGATGCACGGCTGCAGGTCCGGAGGAGTGAGAGTGCCCCAGCACTGCTCACATCTGCCCCACACTGAAGCACTTGGATTTCTTTACTGGTGCCAGGGAAATGTTGGTAAATTTAATTTAGAGCCTCTGAACACTATAAAATCCATCATGGTGGGGTTTTGGCAGTTTGTAAGAACTTGCAAATTGCAGAAACAATGTTATTGTTCCATTAGGCACTTGGGTCTGTGCGTGAATGTAACAGGAAAACTCTGCTCTGAGTAAGAAGACGCTATAAAAATAGAAGCATAGGATATTAAAAAACAGTCCTTTCTTTCATCCTCAAAACTACAGAAGGAGCTGAATATTGGTGGCCAGAATTCTTGGAAGGCTGAGAGAACAATCTATAACACTCGAGGGACTTGGTAGTCACAGGAAGATAAGGGGGAACCCCCTTAACAGTTTCATCAGAATTCCCTGCCTGGCTCCTTCTCTTTGGCTGCTTCTCCCTAGGGGTCTGCATCTTATCTCACTGCCTTCCTTTCCTCTATTTGCCTCTGACTAATGGGCTTTGTCTGCTTGTTACTGGAAGTCTAATAAGTTCTTTTGTCTCTTAACCCTTCCTCCTTTTTAAAAATACTAGATTAATGGCTGTAATGTTTTGCAGACTATCTGCATTGGTGACAAGGACTAATTGTGTGCTTGACTCTTAAGTTACCCAGCAGTAATGACACAGTAACTTGACTTGAAACAATGGTAATTTCATGGCAAATGTTCAAGGCAAATGTTGCCTTCTGGTAAAGTGCCAACTGCAATTTACCCCCTGTAAACATGTGACACAAGTAAACTGGCTGTGCAGATTTTCCTAGTGTCTTCTGTACAGTAAGTTGTCTTTTGAAACACTCAGAGATCTCTCTTGTCTCCTCCCCCCCCTTTCTTTTGACTCTCCCTTGAGTCAGGTAATTACAGATCTGGGCTGAAACCTTCCCAGGGAGGGATCAGGAAAGCCAGGACTTGCAGATCTGCTCCATTGCTCACTGGCACCTTGGCTTCCCCTTCCCTGGGAGGGTTTGGGATGCACTGGGCTCTGGGTGAGTGAGCTGGAGAGCCAAGGGCAGCTCTGATTGCCCCTACACAAGTGCCAGTGCTCTCTGTGGTGATCATGTGTGGCTTTGGTGTGATGGTGTGGTGATGTGTTTATATTCTGATCTCAGTGCTCACCATAACAGAGCAAATAAGGAATCAAAGCCTCTTTCCTGAAATATAAGCTGAGACCTGACCCATTTAGGTCTCCATTTTATCCATGTGTCTTGGGGAGCTCTCTGGTCCAATGATCTGCCTCTAAAGGAAGCAGAAAATCTGGATTTTAGTTAAAGGTTATTTCATTGCAATATTTTGCTGCCAGAAGAATGACAGTTAGGGGACTACTTAGATGTAAGTATTAAAGAACTCTTTCAGAGAAGTAGGAACACTGTAGAGAAACCAGCAAAAGCATAGGTGGTGAGACAGGATTCCAGTAAAGAGAGTAAGCTAGTGTAATCTTCTAGTATCTCAGAAAGAATAGTTATAAATGCTGTTCTGTCTACAGCATCTGTTTTGTGAAAGACAAAACTTACTTTGCAAAATGTGAGAATGCTGTTCCTGACCTCCTGTCACAGTTTGTTATTCCCACAAAGTCAGACTGCCAGAGACAGTATGACAGTCATAGTTGTTTGTTGTCTCACTTTTCCTGTTTAGTGAACAGAAGTGGGTTTTTTTTGAACCAAAAGGATTATGTGCTCCTGAAATACACCAGTCTTATTTTTGCATCCGTGTAGTAGCAGAAAGTGTCAGTTTTTAGTTCTTTCTTTGCATTTTTTGTGTGTGTGATGCTTTTTCTCCTGCAACTTTGGAATTTGTAATGCAGTCAGACTTATCCTTTTGTTTTAAAATTGAAAGGGAGGGAGAAAATCTTAGCACCTATGATTATGGGAGGCACATCTAGCTTAGTAATAGACTCCCAAACACAAATGTCCTAGCTCTTGGTTTTGGCCATGTGCTGACTGTTCAATATTTTCATTGCCAATGAATCTGTACAGAAAGCCTTGAGTATTCTGGATCAGCAATAAATGGGTGGCTGGAGTGCCAAAGGGCTGATGTGTTTATTCCACTTCCAGCAGTCACCTGTGCTTGGAGTTAGTGATTATGTCTCATGGAGCACAGGACAGACACCTACACACCTGGTCTCTTGTGGACACAGGATGCCAAGAGAAATCAAGAATATGTGAAAAATTATGAAGAAAGGTGTGTGTTGGTTGAAGCTGCCACCAGATTTCTCAGGGAGAGGTGGGAGTCTTTGTTGCAACTGCTGACCAAGTTTGAGTGCTCAGAGGAGCTCCTTTGAGGCTACTGATACAGTCAGCATCAAAATACTGCAGCATCCTTGGTACAGTGGGAAAGGTTGGTGTTGTTCACTGAAATTGGGAAGCTGCAAATCAAATCAGGAGAGAGAATTAGGGTTCTGCAGGTGGCTGTGTGTATTTTCTGCTTTAGAAAGTGCAGTTTAAAAATCCAAGCATATGCTCTTAAGGCACTTTCATATGTCAGTGCTTTCACTTAGAACAATTTGTTGTACATAACTTAGATATGATTCCAGTATTTCTGTGGTCAGCTGGTACTGAAGTTCCTACACAACTGTGTGCAGTGAGTGATTCTTTTG